ACTCAGGTCACAGTGGTCTAGACATGAATTTGGTTTTCTTTGCTTCTTAATGTTCTGTATTTCACACAATAGACATTGATGGAAGAAGGAACATAAGAATTGCCAAGTAATTTTTACACCACTCTCTAATTTATGCAAACACCAAGTTCTCACAGTCTGAAAATGTGTATTTTTTCCCCCTCTGTGCTTTGATGGCTAACATTCTTTTTAATGACAGTCATTTCTATAACAGGAAGATGTTTTCATTTGTATTTACTTTTCAGTGCCACGCAATTATGCAGTTTTGCGCTTCAGTAGTGTCTCAGTACTTTGTGTCTCAAAAGAGAATTACAGTACTTGAACAGGACTGCAATTTGAAGCAGGTGTTGTGTTTTACTGTTATGCAAAATAACAGTAAAATATAATTGTGGGGGAAATTAGGGAAACAGCTGCAAACTTGGTATGAAAACTGCTACATTATGATTTGTAAGCAGTTCTTATAGATATCTTACATCAGAGGAGCAGAGAAAGATTTTAATTTAGTTAATCCTCCTGGCCTAGTTGCCTATCAACTGGTGCTTAAAAGACTCACACCTCCCATGAAGTCAGGAAGAAGAAAGAGAACCAAAGTGACACGCTGCTTAAAATGCCAGAGCACTAGGGATTCATCTCTTGGCAGTGCAATTGTACATTAGGAATGTAGGCAAGGTGGGTGTTATTTAGCTTGCTTTGCTAATATGATGAAGGCAATGATTTGAGTGGAATGCTGTGGAATTTCTTAGCCCAGCTAGCATATGGAGGACTACACAAGCCCCGGGTTGTAAAATAATAAAATAAATGGCCTATGGCAGGCCATCTGCCTTTTGCTCGATATTTAAGGTGTTTCATGCCAAATTTAAATCTAATCTTATTATTCTAAATATTTTTATTTGAGATAGCAGCTAAGATACCCAGAGTTTAATGGCGCACATGGCAAACATATTCTGATGTGGAGCACTTAAAGCATGAGCATGAGTTACTCAAGGGTTACCCAAGGAGTGTGCCACCCGCTTCTTCTCTTCCACGCTGATCAATTGCAACAGCTTCAACGCAAGGATTTGGTTTTTTTTTTCACTCTGTGCACACCTACCATAAAAATAAGACATCTTCATTTCTCAACCCAGTGCTGCAGATAATATATTGACATTTACAAAAAGAATAAGAACTAATGAAAATTTTTTAAAAAATGAAGCCAACTACTGAGAATTATGCAGCACCAGGAATGAGGTGGCAGATGTAATGATGGCACTTCTTTACCGCTCCATCAGGACTCCAAGAGGGGAGGTAATGAATGCATCCAAAGTGATGGTTCAAGCCTGGATGTGTTTGGCTTTCCCCTGAGTGACTGGAGTGTTTAAAGAAATTACAGTACATTTAACAAGAAGGATTTGCCCTACTGTAAAGTTCTTGGCCAGAAAGGAATGCATATGTATACCAGGCATTGAGAACTTATATATTTTGGGAGCTGCTTGTGAAAGAAAAAATTATGTGTGATGTGTGTGTATTATAGTTATACACAGGTATCTGTGTATAAGCACAGCATGTTAAATTTACATTTGTCATTGTGCCATGCGGCTGTTTTAAGCATTGAGAAATGATTATATGACACCAACTTTGTAAAGACCAAACATTCCAATTAGCAGGGAAGGTTTGGAGGAAGATTGTCTACTTCGAGCACGAACCATTTATAGCTAGACACCATGGCAACTGTGGATATGCCCCTTCCGTAATTCACGTTAAGTGCCATAATTATAATTAAAGAGGAAATCTTAATTTGAACTCCATTGAGATGATTTGCTAGCATCCAGCAATGTCATATAGAGTGTAATGTCCACTTTGAAGTTCGCTCAGGAAAGAAAGCTGGGAACAGATGTATCCACAAGAAACAAACATTCAGATCTTCCCCGAACTAATCTCATGTCTAGATGTAAGACTTAATGTCTCTTAGAACACGCTCTTTCTCTTTTTTCTCGTTTTTTTAATTTTTAATTTTTTA